AAAAGTGCGTTAAAAGTAATTCATAAAAATCAAGAAGAAATAGATATAAGAACAGAAAGACATCACAAAAATTGTGTGGGGCATTGATGTCACTGGAACCAATGAATTAATGTCGGCGGTAGCTCTGAAAAAATATATTGCTGGTGGACCTAATATTCTATTATCGTCGCTTGTGTACACGATAAACATAAGTATAATTTATGTTTTTTTTATTATTTTATATATTTTTTATATGTAATTAATATTAATTACGCGGCTGGTGGACGTTTAGTTTGCGTTTATGATATATGCTCATATATTTGAAGTGCCGTCTAATGAGGCAAAACTCACAATGGGAAGTCTTTTATTCGGGCGGTACACTTGAGGACCGGTAGCCATTTATTCACTGCATATTATATGAATTTATAACGTTATGGTTTTTTTTGAGCATGTGTATACACTTATAAATTATATTTGGGTTCTTTCTGACGGTTTAATAAAATCATTATTTATGTGCCGGAGTCTTACCATAGAAGTTATATCGCGAAGGTGGACAACATACGGTCTAACGTCACTTTTAAAGCACTTAGAAAATAACTGAAAAGTACTTGGTAACTCGGGATAAAATGTGCTAGTGAATCTTTCTATCAGACGATAGCTTTTTCACTAAGTTTGTCAGCAGCCATATCTTAACCTCAACTTCCGAGTCTTTTATGTAGATGATTAAACTTACACCTTGATGTAAACAAACAATTTGTAAAACTATAGTAAAAAAACGTAAAATTATATTTCACTTATAATTACACTTTTCAGTAATTATTTTGATTGTTTGATGTAAACATGGTAAATTAAATTAATTAAAATTCTCTTACTATCGTTTAAAATAATAAAACAGGAAACAGGTCAATTGTTACAATCAATGAGAACAATAAAAATCCATTTTTTTACTTGCTGAACACCTATATAGAGTTGGTTGGGTTGGGTTTTTTTTCAAGATTTGAGAAGTATCAACCGAGAATTTTTTATTGTTGTATATCTTGGAAGTTATTTTCAACACTTTGGATGTTCTTTCGTACGTATGTCATAACTGGGTGACATTCATCTTACACCAATGAATGAATATCATCCTATTTTACATATTAACAGTTATGTGATTTTGTTAAAAATAATTATGATTTTTCGTTAGCTAAGATTTGTAGTAGCTTGGAAAAATTAAGTAATGGCCCAATACCATATCCTAACTTGATTTAAGCTATATTTTTAAATTATTGCCGTTATGCACTATTCTATCCAATTTTCAACATTATTAAATTAACTATACAGTTGGGTATTTCTCCTTAGTTATAAAAAGTTAGTTTTATTTCACCAATTTGGAAATCTGATGATTGCTCTTCTGTTTCTAATCAGATAATTCAGTGTATTATCTAAATTATTAGTGAAATTAATCAAACCTCAACTTTCAAATATAGTTGCCCAAAGTTCATTGAACGATCAACAAGTTTTTCGTCCCAAAAGATCTATTGAAACAAATCTTACTTCATATTATCAATTGATATCTGTATACGTAGCCTTAAACTTTTAAATTGACATTATTTATACAAGAATAAAAAAAGGCGTTTGACACTTAATAAACTTGAAAATCAGCTTTAAGTGGTAAAATAGTAAATTGGCTAATAGCTTCTTATTTGGTTGATCGATTTCAAGTAATCAGAGTATCTAACACCTTATCTAGACCTAGAGAGGTTAAATCTAGTGTACCCCAAGACGGCCACTTATCAGCTATTTCTTTCTTAATCTTTATTAATGATTTAGATATCGAATTTCATCAATGAATATTTTTAGTGTTGACGATTTATAATTATTTATGGCGATAAAACCTCAAAATGTGTGTATTAAATAGCAAGAAAACTTAAACAGATTTGTCATCTGGTGTATTGATAATGGCCTATTGGTTAATGCAAGTAAATGTTGCCAAATATAATTTACCGATGTCATTATCTAATAGTAAATAACTATTACATAGATAATATTAACCTAGAGGTAAAAAAATGTAATGTAAAAAATTAGATATAACAATCTGATTTAAGTTATAAAACACATATAAATAAATTGTGTCTATTATTTTCAAATAAAAAAAAAAGTATGGTAAAATACATGCAAGAATCTATTTAATAAGTTTTTTTTTAATAATGCATGACTGTGCTCCATTTTACTTAACATTTAAATATTTTTTATGTTCAACAAAGCCACTACCCTTTTAAGTTATCCTTCCCTAAATTATTGTTCCACAAAAAAGTCAACAAAAAAATTTAAGAATAACTACAATTAAGTTATTTATTCAGGATTATTGTTTGATTTAATATAATATGTACATGCATATTATGCATATATGTATAATAAAATATATAAAACAAGTTAATAATTATAAGGATTTTAGTTTAACTTATTTTTTTTATTAATTGAATATTATTTTAAGGTAAAGAATTGAATAACTTAATATGGTTCTTAATTTTTAACCTGTATAAATTTAAATGCATTAAAAAAAAACCATATATTTGGAGACTGTTTGCTCAATGTAATTTATATCAAACTATAATTAGTCAAACAACAATCCTAAAAATATAACTCATTATTAATCTTTTATTATAATTTATAATAAATATCAGATTATAATTTATGTGTATTTAACATTATTTGTACAGTTGGGCAATATTTTTTTGGGCATTTAACAAAAAAAATTTTTGCATCCTACAACTACTAAAATGATTAATTTAAAATAATGAAATCAAGCTAGATAGGTAAATAAATGGCGTAAAAAAATTGTTTTCTAAGGGTTTGGCCGAAGAAATTTATACTTATTTTGTAATAAAAATGTTTTCCTAATATTCTTAAAAAAAAATTTTTTTAATTAATATTCGGCCATCGCATGAATTTAGGAGGAGCAACTCAATCAGCCCCCACTGAAGTAAATAATTCTTAGAATATTTTATCAAAAAAACGTTTCATTTTTTCTTTAACGGTTACTTTAAAATTTTACGATTTTCAATTAAATTTTTCAATTTTAATTTTATTTTTCTTCTACAAATATATAATTATTTATAAATTTTAAATTTTACTAGTATATTCACCAGTCATTATCAAAGGCTTAATTTGATAAAATTGTAACCTTGATACAACGTAGTCAGCATATTAATTTATATGTAGAATTCCAAGAGATTTCGAAACATTTAAACAAAACTTTTTTGAGTTACATCAAAAACCATCAATAATTATAGGGAATAAATAGTAAATCGACAATCTCAATAGACGATTTCATATACTAAAAATCATAACCCTTTATCGTTAGTTTTAAATCATTTTTATGATTTATTTTTATTTTTTTTATGTCTGTTGCCACTTTTTCTCAGCTCTCACTGGACCGATTTCTTTCAAAAGTACGTCAAAAGATCACAAATCGTATCTAGTTGGAGACATTACCCTTAAAAAATTGAAAAAAATCCCCTCGTTCCCCGAAAATGGGGGAAATATCCAAAAAAATTACAAATTTAAAAATCGGTAAATTTTGTCATTTTTTTCACTTTTTTTTCTTAAAACTTCCATAACTTTTTGAAAAATAAACAAATCAACATAAATTTTTTTTCTACTAAGACCTTACATGTTTTCCTTTTGTTTGATATCATTTTGTTGAAAATTTAACACTTAACCTGCTCATGAGGGGGGATTTAAAATATCAATTTTTTTACAAAAACTAACTTTATCAACTTAATTTTTGAAAATGTTCCAGAAATACTACGTCCTTTAAACATATATCAAATTAAAGCTTATTTTATGTGCTATAAAATGAAAAAAGAAATTTGTCCCGACACTTTATCTTCTGCATGTAAACGGCTGCTGTAGTTAAAAAAACGCTATTTTTGTGTTACAATTTTCGATTTTAAATTTTCAACTTAAAAATGCTATAACTTTTTGAAAAATGTATATATCAGCACAAATTTTTTTTTCTAAGTACATCTTTCATTTGAAATAATATTTATTATAATTGGACAATTTCTCCATATATAGAGGACGTTCAAAACTTGATTCTTTGTATAAAAAATAGAACTTTTTCAACTGAACTTTTGAAAATGTTCCAGAAATACTGCGTCTTTTAAACATATATCAAATCAAGGATTATGTTATATACTATAAAATGAAAAAAAAAAATTTGTCTCGACATCTTATCTTCTATGTGCAAATGGCTGTCGAAAATTTTAAAAAAATGTAATGTTTGCGATAAAAATCAACTTTTATCGAGATGTTTTTTGTACTTAAAACTGCCATAACTTTTTCAAAAATGAACAAATGAAAATAATATTTTTTGTTATTGAAACCTTAGATATTTCCCTTTCATTTGATATAATTTTTTTTGAAAATCTAACACTTATTCTGCTCACTGGGGGGATTTAAAATAGTAACTTTTTTACAAAAAATAACTTTTTCAACTTAATTTTTGAAAATGTTCCGGAAATACTGCGTCCTTTAAACATATATCAAATTAAAGCTTATTTTATGTACTATAATATAATAAAAAAAAATTTATCCCGAAAAAGCTACCGTATTCAAAAATATGCTATTACAACAAATTTTTTTTTTTTCAATTAAATACTATCTACAGATTTGCATCGAAGCGTTTTTTATGATAGTGATTTTAATCACTGTCAGATATCATTTATACTGGACCCAACCATGCCACGACCCCACTGTGCCGCCGCACCACTGTGCTGGGTTTTTTTTTTAATTAATAAGTATTTTTCAACTTAATATTATCTGAATTTTTTCTCTTATGTAAATAAACCTTTAGTTGACATTAAATATAAACTAATGATTTATAAATTCAAACATTTTATGTATTTATAAAAATATGCATCATTATATATGCATCATTATATATGCATCATAATGATGTTTTACTAAAGTTATTTTCAACGTAATACTTTTTATAGTTTTTCTCTTATTTAAATAAACCATTAGTTGGACTTTTTATATAAAATAGTATATATATATTCTATGCCATTTATTCAATTTGCAGTATATATTCTATAATTTGAGTAAGTAAATTGTTTAATGATGTTGGTACATAGAATATCTACTTTATTTTTGTTTATGCATGTAAGTATAAATTGTTCATAGTCTTGGTAAATAAATTAGGAAATTATCCTAGTATATTAAATATATTACACCTATGAATCTTTATGTGATTAATAACACTTATATTTAACAGCTATCGATATTCGTATAATAAGATAAATGACACATTTGTAACTTTTTTAATAACCCATAAAAAGTTATTCAAATTTATTATAGATACAATCAATTATTTGTGGATATTTCGAATTAGTTGACGAGTTCAAAATATGCTTAGAAAGTCATGATACGGTACATAATGTTTATGAAGATCCGAGTAAGTATTATTATTAAATTATTATAAGAAACTATAAATTATTAATTTGTAGTTACTACCGTTATGAAGCAAAATCAAGTAGGAAGGATGATTTATTAATCAAATATTTAAATTTAAATATAGAATTTACAGACATATTTGAAGAAAAATTAATAGTGTGGCAAAGGAATTTTGCTGATCGTCAAAAATTTGAAGATATTATAACTGCTCAAAATCATTTTAGATCTATAATGACAACTACAATATGTCCACCGGAAAACAATATACCCAATTGCGTTACAAACGTTGAGAGTTGCTGTAATACTTTCGTTGAAGAAATATTTAAATTAATAACGGTTATTATTAATAATAGTTAATAGTTATAGTATATTTTTAAATCTTAAATGAAAGATTACTATAAAATTAATAGTTTAATAGATGACACTTAGTATATCTAATTTAAGCTATATTTAATATTAATTATATTTTAACGTTTAGAATATAATCTATATGGTGTATTGGGCAATTCTAAACAATAACATTATAAAATTAGCTCATCAAATAATTGAGTTTCATTATTATAAAAATTAATTACTTTCATAATTAATTAAATAATTTTACTTTACTTATTTTTTAACTTTATATTTTGTTAGATATTACGGGAAAATGTTGTCGTAAATGCTAAACCAAAGGAAAACTTTAGACAATGCTTGAGTAATCTAAACACTATAGATCGAAACTTTATTAATGTGTTAAATATTAAAGTATTTGAATCTTCGAGTAAGCTACACGTATTTTATTATTCAATTACATATACAAAATGGTTGATAATGTAACTAAAACTCAACTTAGACAGGTTAATGTAGTACTGTACGGCGTAATATGTATCGTATCATACTCTTAGATATTGTTATATACTCCACGTATTCAGAATTTTAATAGTTATAAAAACACTAAAAATAGCTCTCCATGACGGAGCCTAAAAAACACATTAATCTTAAAACTCTTTTTCTCGAGTTGTACAAAGGGCAACAAGGTCAACCAAGTATAAAATCACTCTTGGTATCACTGAAAAGATTGTAACCACTAGCAAAAATAGAGCAAAAAGCTAAGTTCGACCTGCATGCCCTAGAATATTCCTGAGACTTATTTATGGCAAGTTAGTTGGTTTATACCAGCAAAATACAAAGGGGTTGAATCCACCCAACTAAATGAATTCTATGCGTTCGATGTACGTTTCCTACACCCTGATAGTGCTACACACAAAACAAAATATTAATTTAAAATAAGTTGAATTGGTTTTATATTTCAAATTGAAACGTATTAAATTCTCAACAAAAAAAATAAAAATAAAATTCAATAAAGCTTAATTATCACACAATTAAAACACATCTATTAACGCTATTTTTAAAACGACCTAATTAAAATTATAAACAACATTAGTTTACAAATTTTATCATTTATAATTCAGTAATTCATATCCAATTCATTTAATATTTTGTACTTTTTTATTAAGTCATATAGCAATATTTACACTATTACAATTATATTATGTTATATGAAATCAATGATGTCTATATTGTCTAAATTTATCCTGGAAAGGTATATAACGCCCGATCAATGTAACACACGTCCCGTAATTCTACAATGGCCATAATATAATTAATTATATTATATATAATTTTTGTGGATGGATAGAGACGGATCTAGGTTTTTTTTATTGGATGTTTAAATATGAACATATTTATTAACAATCACTTTTATCATTTTATAAAATTCACATTTTCCGACATTAACTTTAATTTCAATAATTTCCCATACCTTTCTTCGGATTTCCAGAATCCCTTCATTATGGCCTAGTGACTCTTCATTAATAGTTAGAACAAAAAATTTTTGAGAACATCATATTATTATACTCCGAAAGGAATGTCTTCAAATTGCTATATTATATTTATATTATATATTATATTGCAGAATTGAACAATTTAGTGTGGTTGTTTCAGTTCTTAAGGCACTTTAACCTACCTTGTGTGTAGAGAGTTTCTCTTATAGGAAATTTAATTAATTATTAAATCAATATAAATAATAATAATCTATGTAAAAACAAAATAAATTTTTATATTAATTACATTTCCTTGCGAAATTAAATTAAAATAATATTGTTACAGAAAATATTTTTAAAAAAAATTTTGCAAGTATCTCAAATAACTGGACTTTTTATATTACTACTCACTGCAAATACTCAGAAGATGCTAAACAAGTATTTGGTAGTGCAATGAAAAAATTAATTTGTAACCTACCTCAAGGACCAATTAAATATGATTGTGATATCTTTATTCAACAATGTAGTGACACTTTTGTAACGGAAGCGAGAAAAGTTATTTCATTTTATAGTATAGTAAAATAGGGTAACTTTAATTTTAAGTGTAACTTTGATAATACAGTTATTCAGCGGTTTGAAAAGGTACATTACTTGTAACAATGATACTATAGTGCGCTACTTTTTTATAGTTGTATCGATTACTTTTCATTTTGTATCAATGAAAATTATGTACTAATTTTTTTTTACTATACTCTCAAATAATATCAATTAGGATATTTTCTTAAATATTCTGTAATGAATAAAAAAAAACGTTCTTTGACAATTATTACTAGAGAAATGTAAATATTGTCGCAACTACTATGTAGGGAACTCGTAGTCGTTCCTTTGGGCGTTCATCGTTTCCGCGAAGCATCATTTCCGCCAAATCTGATTTAGGTACGATTTTCGTTTCCGCCAAACCGATAGTTTATACCAGTCTATAAAAAGAAGCTCGAGAACCACTGGTTATAATATATGTCAATTATTATCTACTATTAATTTAATCGAACTTTTTACAATTTTATTATTGTTTATGATATCAGTTCATTGATAATTGTGAATCATTTCATTCCAATTTTAATAAACAATTTTTTAAGGCGCATCTTTCGATTAATATATTCTTTTTAAATTTAAATAAAAATATTTAGTCTTAAAATTACAATAAAATATATAGTTTTGATGATGCAGTCTCAAAAAGCATACGGAATAAAATTGAAATCCGTTTCAGAAAAACAAAAGAAACAAGTGATAAATTTAATAACAATGAAATTAGTCGATTTGATTTGTGAAATTAGTTTTCAACAACTATCGAAAAATTTATAGATCATAGATCTATTTTTTATTATATTATTAAAGATATTAGATATTTTTTAAGCTTATTGTTATTGTTTGAATTCTATTTCAATGTTTTGATGACTTTTTATTTTCTTATAAACTATATTTTTATTATTCATTACAAATATATGTATATATATATCTGTGGCTTGGTGCAAAAAGGGCCAATGTCACGTTTTGTCGAAATTGAGATTATCAGGCCAATCTCATTTTTTAATTTTTGTTCTTCTGTTGATAAAACGGCTAATGTATTCGAACAAATGTGACCAACTTGGCGTAAAAATTGGCCATTTTGATTTTAACGAAGAGTTAGTGTTGTTATTTAGAAAATAAGGCTTATCAATACATTGGCCATATCAGTAGAGATATCATTTCAAAAGACAAATGGCCAAAGTGTAGTTAGAACTAAATGATTTTGGTACATGTGTAGATTGGCCATTTTTATTTTTCAAACTGATAATGATTTATTTGGCTAACTGATAATAATTTGTTGACGACGGGCGATAAAATGTAACAAAACTCAATTGAGTCGTTTATTATTAGTTATTATTAGTTTAATTAGTGTTGTAATTTATTTTTATATATATTATATATATGTAGTTAAGATAGTTATCTATTAGAATTTATTTACCTTAGGTAAAACGTCATATTTTCTTTATAAAGTTATGCCTATGTGATAAAATAAGTAATTATTCAAAACGACGTAATCATATTTAGAGTTGGTAAGAGGGTCAACATTTCTTTGGGGCGAATGTCATTTGATAGTTATAGGATAAAAAATTACTTTATTTTGCTCATTAATATTAATACCCCACGCAAAAATCTTAAATACAGGCCTGAACGTAACATTCAATAAAAGCCAAACAATTTGGTACTGGCAGCTACCTAACCTAATACCGATACTGGATCGTCATGGTGAACCATGGATAAAATTAAATGGTTCTCAAACTTTTTAGTAGATAGACAGGTAGAGGATTAGTTTGGCGGAAACGAAAAACCGACCTTATTCAGGTTTGGCGGAATCGGTACTTGGTGGAAACGTTACGATCAATTTTAGCGGAAACAATAACCCAACCTGTTCCTTTTCTAATAAGAGCCGCTCGCTATGCTTGCATATGGCAAACTCATCATTTTTAATATTTTGGTTTCTGACAATATTAATTAATTAAATTACAGCACTCTTGTTTTCTCAATATTTTATTTGAAAATTGGCATCAACGTTCTAAAATACATTTTTATAATTCTTGAATATTTCATTATACTAATTTCAAACATACCAGGTAATTTCGTGTGCCAGGGGAATATTTATTATTTAATGACAAACGCGGCAAGGATTAACGTAATGATCATGATAAGTAAGTCTCGGATTTGGGTTCTATATTGAATATTTTTTAGGATTATCTTAGACGATGCTCTTCAAGTATAAAATGATAATGATATATTTTGTTAGTTTATGCGTCAAAATTAAAGGCTACAGTGGCCTCCTCCAAAGGAGACCATTAACTATTAATACTACAGGATAGATGGTTAGTTCGTCACCGGATAGAGGGATGATAACTCTAATTACCGAAATGAAATTTCGTTCAGCAAATGTAGTCGCTTCTTATGAACCTATAAGTCTTTTGCCATATTTTTCAAAAATATGCGAAAAAACAATTTTAAAACAAACTAAAACATAGAACATAATAACAGTGATTTGATATAATACTCAATATTTTTTTAAATATAATTCTGTGAGTAATTTTAAGGTATAAATTTATTACTATAACGCGGCATAGCTTAACGTAACAGACATGATAAGTAAGTCCCGGATTTTGGTCCATATAGAATATTTTTTAGGATTATCTTAGACAGTGCTCTACAAGCATAAAATAATAATGATGCATTTTGTTAGTTAATACGTCAAAAAAAATTGATTTTATTCTAATGAAACCTATTAGGGCTGAAAATTTGAAAAATCCCTTAATTTTAGACATTTAATATTATATCTAAAAATTGTGCTACCGTTAAAATTAACTTTAAAAAAAAAGTTTTTTTTACATAACTTTTTAAACTATTTTAAAACATTGATACTAATGAAATTTTAATAGAGATAATACATTTTTTTTTAGCATTCTTTCTATGAAAATTAAATTAATAACCTAAGTACAGACAACAAGTACAGATTGGTTAATAGAGCCAGCGAAGGCCCTACTAACCAGTTTTGAATCAAATTACTACAACATTACTGACCCCCAAGTCAAATATAGTGACCCTCTACGTCTCAAAAATGTTCGGTTATATCAAATATGTAGTATACAGCTTCTTATGAACCTACAAGTCTTTTGTCATATTTTTCAAAAATATGCGAAAAAAACAATCTTAAAACAAAACTATAACATAGAACATAATAACAGTGACTGATATAATAATCTTTATTTTTTTTATTCAATTCTGTAAGTCATTTTAATGTATAAATTTATTACTATAACGTGTGATTTATTAATTATACTAGCCCTTATTTTTCCATTAAATCATGATTTTTTCATAAAAATGTATAAATTAAAATTCAATTTTATTTTTATAGATTTTAGGGGTAACTTTTGGCTACTCTTTAATTTACTAAAATCTCTTAATTACTCATAACTGTAAGCTCTGATTTTACTACAATTCAAAATATAATTGATTTTCTTAAATGAAAGACTAAATAATGCCACTCGTTTGGGCAAACCCATTATTTCTAATATTACCAACCTCGGTCATTAAAATATTTTTTGGTTCAAAAAGATATTTTTCAATTATTCTCGTATCAATATAAATTAAAGTTAAACTCCTCATTTAAAGTCCTTTTTTTACTAACTGGACTAAACAGTGACAAAAATATATGACATACCTTTACTAAGAACTTCCAAGAACTATTCTCTTTAGGAGGATAGCATCTCTTCATAAAATACATCGAAGACACTACAAAATTATTAATCCATAAAGCTAATATCTAATTACAAAATATTTAATTGCTACTGCCAAAACGTGAGAGATTTAAATCGTAAATTTAATTTATTAAAAACTTTTGTAGATGTTTAAATTTATATTTTATTGTTTAGTGATTGCATAATTATATTAGTTCATTTGAACTCTGTTTTATTAATGAAAATTTTATGCGTGTGATAATTTCTAATTAGATAGTCAACTAGATGAAGGTGATTAATTAATAGTAATTAAAATTGTGTTTCCTCACAAATGGATAGTAATCATTAGAAATCATTAAAATAATACTTAAAATTTAATTGAAAATTTTTCAATTTTACATAATATAATATCTTCTTATTGAAATGATGATATTCTTTTTTTTGGTGATCTAAATATTCCAAATTTTAATAAAGCATCATTAAATGCTAATTTTTTCTTATTCTCTCCAAAAGCAATTATTTAAAAATAAATCTAGCATTTCTTTTTATATATTTTACATAAATATAATTAACAATAGCCATGACTCATTAATTGATCTTATATTATCCAATTCAACTTTTCATGTAATATATTTTAATATGGATACTATTGACAATATTGTAGACAATTATCATTTTTTTATAAATGTCAGTTATAATTAGTTCTACAAACCTTCTCCCATTTTTTTATTGAGGATATCTATAATTGGTACAAGGGTGATTATAATAATATTTTATCATTCCTAGATTCCTAGAATCAGTTGACTGCATCGAATTTTTTAAAATAGTAATGATATTTTATTCATTGCTGATTAATTTTATTTACTACATTTTTATGCTGTAAACATATTATACTCCTAAAAAATGATAATTTTATGTTGGTTTCTACAAATTTAATAAATCTAATTAAATTTTTAAAAATGCAACATTCTATCTTTGAAAAGTCAAAATCACACGACAATTATTTAATATTTCCTTCTTAAAGTACTCAATATTAAATCTTAAGTAGAGTTGATTACACATGATATCTAAATAGTATAAATGAAATTTCGTTCAGCAAATGTAGTCGCTTCTTATGAACCTATAAGTCTTTTGCCATATTTTTCAAAAATATGCGAAAAAACAATTTTAAAACAAACTAAAACATAGAACATAATAACAGTGATTTAATATAATACTCAATATTTTTTTTAATTCAATTCTGTGAGTAATTTTAAGATATAAATTTATTACTATAATGTGTGATTTATTAAGTACACTAGCCTCTATTTTTTCATTTATATTATATTCCTAAAATAATGATATTTCTATGTTAGTTTTCTAAAGATTTAATAAATCTAATTAAATTTTTTTTTAATGCAACATTCTATTATTGAAATATCAAACTCGCACAACGATTATTTAATATTTCCTTCTTAATGTACTCGATATTAAATCTTGTCTAGAAAACATATGATATCTAAGTATTATTCAAAAATCCTATCCTAAGAAATTTTGATATTTTATTAATAACCTAAAAAAATCACGTAGTTTACACAAATCAATTTTAACATCTAAATTTTTCAAAAAGTATTGATAAATATAATGATTTTTTTTAACGTAAAAGTGGCAGTAGGTTAATACTCAAACCACTACTTTTCTTATTAATGTTGATAATTTTAACCTATTACAAATATACCTCACCATATTAAGGTTTCTTTAATTTACGGTATTTTTAAATTCAACATTAATTAATCAAAAATATATATAAATAAAAGAAATATTATTATATTTTTAATGTATTTTTTATTTCAGGCTAAATCATTAAATATTGCTCCAAATGATCCAGTAGAAAAAATAAAAGATTGCTTGATTAATGCTTCAAGTGGCTATGGAATTTACAATATTGAAGGTATACCCCAAATTTGATAATATAATACTTTAAACTAAGTTTTAGGTAGACTGATTACAACATATAAATAGTATTTTTTTTTTTTTATTAAACACATTTATTTTTCTATATTTTTAAGAGGTTCTTCAAAAAAATATAAGTAGTATTATTTTTACGTTTCTTTTTGACATTTTATACGATACTGTTTATGATTCTTAAATGTAAAATATATATTTTATCATATGAACTCTATGAAATTGAAAGAAACATTAATATAAAAGAAACCAATAACATAATTATTAATATTATATTATTTTTCGATTTAAGAAGAGGTTTATAATAAACGGATCGCTTTGTATATATAGAGTGGGTTGGCTTAAAATAATCTAATTAAAAAAATGACAGAATGATAAAACTTTTGGATCAGCACTTCGAAAGTTTTTCTCACTATTCTCACAAAGTCATTTTCCTGTTAGATAATTATCTATTTTATAAGTTACTTAAACAATGTTCAGTTTAGTTTAGGGTGGATCAAAAAAAATATAACTTCGAAATGTTAATGAAAACCATTTTAACTTTATTATATACATTAATATAATAGGCATTTTGGAAAAATTTGTGATTTTTAAAAAAAAATTTTCTAGTGGCTTTTTTCTAGTTTTGACCAAAAATACTCTAAAAAACAAAAAACGGCCCTGTTATTCAATTTTTGGTAAAATATTATGTTTAGTATATCAAAATAGTTTGATTTTTATTGTAGAACACAATTTTTTTAGTTTTATGATTATAAGTCGAAAATTAATAGCGTGGATATAATTATTAGAGTCATTATATGGTATATATCTAATAAGTCTCAGATATGCTTAAAATTTTTATTTTTTTATATTAGTTATTGTAGAAGATCTTTAAGACATCTTGTTTTTAATCTTCTTGGAGCATTATCGGGAAGAAAGGCCGAGAATAGTTGCATTATTAGATCTTAAACTCTTATACCTTTTTATTTGTAATTCATGCATAAGCTAAAATATACGATATTTTTGAAAGTATGAATAATAAATATTGTCATTACATACTTTTCAAATATAATTTTTTTATTAAACAATTCATTTTTTATTAAATATAATACAATAAAATATTAGTTTCATATTTTTAGTTAAAATACTAAAAATACGTTGAGCCACCAATAAAAATATCTTTAAAAATCTCTAATTTTTCCAAAATGCCTATTTTAATGAATATAATAAAGTTACAATGGTTCTTATTACAATTTCGAAGATCGACTTTTTTTGATACACCCTTCTAAACATGTATGTTTCCATTTAAATAAATACAGTTGATACCCCTTTAAGTTATAAAGGATATTTCTAAAAAGTCATTATTAGCTGTTAAATCAAGAAATATATGTGATTAAAAAAAATCAAGATTCTTTTTCTAAATATGTGTTTATTTTGTTAGTAATCGTGTGATTTATGATAAACCGATCACTCTGAATATATACATATTTATTAATATTACTTATTTTATTGTCTCTCAATTGAAGATTTTTCCACATAATTATTAAAATGAATATAGAGTTGAGTAAGTAAGGTAACGGGTTGCTATTGTTTTCATTGTTTGTAACAAATTATTTGTTTTCTTACTTACTCTGTATGTATATTTTAATAAGTAGGTAATTAATTTGATATTAAAATTTTTTAATTTTGAATTTGGACATTTTTTTATGTACTAAATAGTTGTTTGTTATCATTAAATTAGAACATTTTAAAGTTATATTTGAAAATCTTGAGGATTTATCCATGTTCGCAGTTGATTGCTGACGTTTCGAACTCATTGCAGAGTCCATCTTCGTAGCAATAGTTAGTGTTCGGTGGCTGAAACTATACTGGCGGTTTATCTTATTATCAGTCTGTTTTTATACGTTGGTTGTTTATTATGTCGGTTGTTTACCGTTTTGTAAAGTATTATATATTTTAATTGGAAAAACTATCATCTTATATATTTCAACAAACTATTAGTAGGAATTATTAATAATTTATTTTATTGTTGGTTAAACTATATTAAACATAATTTCGATTGGCCCAGCTAGATAGTTTTTAAGTAAATTACTTATATTTTGTGAACTGTTAAATATTTTACTAACCGAAAAGGTTGATTATTTCATTTAAACTTTTCGTTACCATGTTTAAAAAAATAAGATTGTAAATTTCAATAAAATCTTAATTTAATTTCAGAAAAAATATTCAATCCTGAATTGGAGAACAATTTAATAGAATGGAATATTAAATGTGAAGAACAGGGTGTCTCTGAAGTTAAAATTGTAATAGAAGAATATATGAAAGAGCAATTATGTTCAAAATTTGAGCCTTTATCCAAAAATTATTGCGAATTTGATATTAAAAAATGTTGTACCGATTTTATAGAGTGTAATGACTTTAACAATTTTTTAGATTTAATAAAAAATAATCAAGATTGTTAATTATTATTTATTTTGACTTTACGGTAGTTCTGTTATAATCTATTAATTAATAATATTTAATTACAATTATTTTTAATTTACAAATAATGTAATGATTTACAAATAATTAAAAAAAAACTCTTAATAGCACTATAAATTGTTACTAACAATCAATACTTAAAATTACTACTACCAACAATACTGCGTTTTACAAACCATAATATCACAGTTATTATAATATTACATAAATTCTATACAAAAATTTAAATTTAAAAAATAATATTGATTTAAATTGTTTGTATAGAATTATTCAAGTTACTTAAAAATGAAAATCTAATGGAGGTAAAATTGGCACTGAAAAATCACCTATGAGTAATTATTTTAAAAATGTAATCCGTGCGGCAAAATCATTCACTATCTCTGTTACCCACTCGTAACTGTTTAATGAGAGAGGGATAAGTTTAGTAATAATTACTGAACTATAATTATTGAGGTCACTATCACTCTATCCGGTAATGGACTAACCAACCGCACCGGAGCAACCTTCTCTTCGGGGGAAGCCACTATGGCCTTTTATAGGCTGTTAAAGTATTAAAAAAATTAATATTTCAAAATATAGATACGAATTCAACAAGTTTTCTTATAGAAAAAAATTATAATTTAATTTAATTTTTTTATTATTACAAACAAATAATATAACATTTGATTTTAATGTAGTCTAAGAATTTAATATTTAATTTAAAAAAAATAACAGGAAATATTTAGATTTGTCAAAACATCATTTATCTATTCTATATATTATTCATATAAATAAAATTGGTATAATTATATTGCATTATATGATATATATAACTATTTTAAGATGGTGTCACGTTACAAATGCTGTAATAAAATTTTATAAAATAAAACACAGACATCGCATCCGCTACAAATGACTGATGAATTGACAATAAAAAATAATTATTGTGAAATTAGCAATTATTCTAAAACTATTTAAACCCAAAGTATCTGACCAACGTTGTCAGTCGACTCCAGTACGTAGCCTTAACTTTGTGTCATTCATCAGTCCCAGTATTCGGTTGTTGCTATCCTTGCTTGTACTTTATTCCTAGGTTTTACCCTTATTCCCATCCTATAACAACGGCCTTTCGACACCCACAGCCAATACGGATTGTCAGCCGAATTAGGTGACTGCTGTACGATTACACGTACGTGAACAATTCTCATTTCTCTTTGTGGTTTGTTTTACGGGAATATATACTAATTTTCAAAAGTTAAATAAGAACTTATTATTATTTTTTCACTCTTTTCTATTAAATAAACAATCGTCTAAATAAAATTTTGACTGATCGAAAACCAGTATTGCTTTATTACTTTTTGAGTTTTTATAATTTTAAGTTAAAGACAAACATGTTCGCTTATACACAATCACAAGTGTTTCTAGTATTGCCTAGTTTGTACCCCTGCCATACTTGTAGAGCATTTCAGAATATTTACAGGAGTATGTATTTCATATGCTTACCTTTACTAAGGTTATCGAATATTCTGCATGTAGTCTCTAAAATATCTCCCCTCATTGTATACGTTTTTCAATTAAAATGTCAAGATGATATAAGTGTTTGTTGAATATTTTAAAAATATACCTTTCGTCCAAATCGAGTTATCCTTCGTTATCTCTATATAAAAATTGATGGTTTTCTTACAATTTCCTTCTCACTTAAATATACAACGCTTTCCATACAAGCGGGATTAAGTTATTAATTTATATTATTTCAACATGCAATTTTTTTATTATTGTATATCTTGGAAGTTATCCATATTCTAACTTGATTAAAGCTATATTTTTAAATTATTGTCGTTATGCACTATTCTATCCAATTTTCAACATAATTAATTAAACTATACACTTAGGCATTTTTCCTTAGTTTTAAAAAGTTAGTTTTATTTCACCAATTTGGAAATCTGATGATTGCTCTTCTGTTTCTAATCAGATAATTAAGTGAATTATCTAAATTATTAGTGAAATTAATCAATCTTCAACTTTCAAATATAGTTGCCCAAAGTTCATTAAACGAACAACAAGTTTTTTGTCCCAAAAGATCTTAATAAACGTGAAAATCAGTGGTAAAATCGAAACATTTTGAAAGTAATTGCTCAATGTAATTTATGTCAAACTATAATTAGTCAAACAACAACCATAAAAAAATAAGTCATTATTAATATTTTATTATAACTTTAGGTTTATTTAAATACATATTTTTGGTAATAAATCTATATCAGACTATAATTTATGTGTATTTGAACATTATTTGTGCATCTGGGCAATTCTTTTTTGCGCATTTAACAAAAAAAATTTTAGGCATCTGACAACTACTAAAATTATTAATTTAAAATAATTAAAGCAAACTAGATAGGAAAATAAATGTCGTAAAAAAATTGTATTTTCATTTTTATATTCATAGAAATCGTTATTTGAAAAAGATAATGTTCTGGACGTAATAATAAATGGAATAGCAGTTACTCCAAACGTGGTTGTAGATAAATTTTTTAGCTTCGATGCAAAGCTGAGAAGGTATTGGTTTTACTATGATGTGTTTTTTTTTGTCTGTTACCACTTTTTCTCAGCTCTCACCGAACCGATTTCTTTCAATGATACGTCAAAAGATCACAAATTGTATCTAGTCGAAGATATTACCCTCAAAAATTGAAAAAAAATCCCTCGTTCCCCGTAAATGAGGGAAACATCCAAAAAAATTACAAATTGAAAAATCGCTAATTTTTTCAAGTTTTTCAATTTTTTTTACTTAAAATTTCTATAACTTTTTTAAAAATAACNTCAATTTTTTTTACTTAAAATTGCCATAACTTTTTTAAAAATGATCGAATCAATATAATTTTTTTTTTTATAGATACCTTAAATATTTACCTATCATTTTATATATTTTTGTGAACATTTGACCCTTTAACAGCCCACAGGAAGGGTTTCAAAATGGTAGCTTGATGCATGATATTATTACCTTTCATTTGGTATGTTTTTTTTTTATATGTGACCCTTTATTTGCCCACAGGGGGGGATTTAAAATGACAACTTTTTCACAAAAAATTAATTTTTCAACTTGATTTTTGAAAATGTTCCGGAAGGTCTGACACTTTTATATATATCTTAAATTAAAGCTAATGTAATATACTTTAATTTGAAAAAAAAAATTTGACCTCTGGACTAGTCTTCACGGCGAAAATGGCTACCGAATGCTATTTTCTTGTGAAAATTCTCGATTTTATTTTTTACATTTTTAACTTTATAATGCTATAACTTATTGAAAAGTGTATTGATCAAAATAATTATTTAATGGGAAATACTATTTTTTAATAATCCCTTTTTCATTCGACATACTTTATCTTAATCAGGATATTAATAAGGAACTAGCAGTTTATGAAGCTTTTGGAATAATCCACCAATTTTTTAAAATTAAACACTATCTAAAGATTTGCATCGAAGCGTTTTTTTTTTGATAGTGATTTTAATCACTGTCAGATATCATTATACTTGATCCAACTATGCCACGTCACCACTGTGCCGCGACCCCCCTGTGATGGGTTTTTTTTTTTTTTTGTGTGTCTGTTACCACTTTCTCTCAGCTCTCACCGAACCGATTTCTTTCATTGATACGTCAAAAGATCACAAATCGTTATTATTATTTGTGCATCTGGGCAATTTTTTTTTGCACATTTATCAGAAAGGCGCCCCAACGGCCCGCATATCTCATAGCTATGCGAGTCGCCTTGGATGGGGCGGCTTCTACCCCGTGGAAAGCCGTAGGAAAATGGAGGTAGGCCGAGGCTACTCATCATGTAATAGCCTAGACCCGGACAAGCAGGAAGATGGAATAGATGAAAGGAATGTGGACTGGGCCTAAGGGACCCATTCCGGGGAGACGAGGAGGCTCCCGTGTTGCGGGGGGACGGCGATATTCACCCGACGCCCACAATTTAACAAAATTTAACAAAAAAATTTTAGGCATCTGACAACTACTAAAATTATTAATTTAAAATAATTAAAGCAAACTAGATAGGAAAATAAATGTCGTAAAAAAATTGTTTTCTGTAAGGTTGACCGAAATAATGTTAAATTATTTTGTATTCAAATTTTTAATTAATATTCATCTATAAGAACAATTTTTAAATTTTACTACGATTTTTTTATTTTATGTTTTCTTCTCAGCTCTCACCGGATTGATTTCTTTCAGCGTTATGTCAAAATATCAAAAATTTTATCTAGTTGAAGACATTGCTCTAAAAATCCGAGTTGCATAAAAAATAACAATTTACAATTGAAAATGTTCCTATCTTCAATGTGCAAATAGCAGTCGAAGTTGAACAAGAAATAGTAGTTATTTTGTTTTTAGAATAATCAACCAATTACTTAAAATTTAACTCTACCTATAGATTTGTATCGAAGCGTTTCTTGTGATAATGATTATAATCACTGTCAGATACATCTATACTTATCCTAATTATGCCATGCCCACGCTGCGCTGGTGTCATGAACATTGAATTAAAATAATTAAAGCAAGCTAGATAGGAAAATCAATAGCGTAAAAAAACTGTTTTCTGGAGGGTTGGCCAAAAAAATTTATAATTATTTTGTAATCAAATTTTTGCTTTAAATGATTATTTTAAAATTTTACGATTATCATTTAAATTTTTTTAAAGAATTACCTACTGTTTTAAAACGATAAACTATTATTTACTGTAGTAATTAGATGAGGAAGTATTGAATTACGTCGATTTTAGTATAATATAAGCTTTGCAATAGTAGTAAGCAATTTTTGAACTCTTAAGCAATATAATAATTCCATATAAAAGGGAAATGCAGGGTAAGCAAATTAATAATGGTGGGAAAAAAGAATATAAAAGGGTAACATGAAAAGTATAGGGGGACGACACTGTACGACACGGGACGATACTGGGCGAGACGAGACTGGACGTTTGGTCGAAGAAACGTCGAGTTACGCGTTAGGTCGTTTAATAACTTAATACCTTTTTTTAAGATTTAATTAATTTTTGTGTTTAATTATTATATTATATTTGACTTTGTATTTAATACTTTTCGCAAATAAAATAACTATTTAAAAATCTAGGCTTAGCGC